AGATGCCTCCATACTTCTATTCAAGTCTAAAGTAATGTCAGATTTGAATGAAGAATGACCCAAATCCCTTCATTCACAGTTACCAAGCAATCATTGCATTGGTTGCGTGGCTTTTTCTATTATTATATTTCGCAAATGGGAAAATCGGTCTTTCTATCTCATGAATCAACGTCTCAAAATGTTTTTACATGTCATGCGAGAAAAAACGATTGCAATAGTAATTGTAAGCTTTCACGAATCATAAATTATGTGTGTGATAGTTGGGGGAAAGTGTTAAAAAGTGCTAAACATTTTGCATTGGTGCCAATTTAGTCATAAACCTTTTTTGGTGCTAATTTAGTCCTAAACTTCTGCATTGATGCCAATTTAGTCCTAAACCTTTTTTGGTGCCAATTGGTCCTAAATTTTTGCATTTGTGTCAATTCAGTCCTAAACCTTTGCATTGGTGCCAATTGAGTCATAAACCTTTTTTGTTGCTAATTCGTCTAAACCTTTTGCATTTGTGCCAATTTAGTCCTTCCGGTTAATGTAGCTCGAAAATATTTAGGACTAAATTGGCACCAATGCAAAAGGTTTATGATCGAATTGGCACCAAAAAAGGTTTAAGACTTTTTTGGCACAAATGCAAAAGGTTTAGGACCGTATTGGCACCAAAAAAGGTTTAGGACTCAATTGGCACCAAAGCAAATGGTTTAGAACTTAATTGGCACAAAAAAAAAAGTTTATGACTAAATTGGCACAAATACAAAAGGTTTAGGACTTTTTTGACACTTTTGCCATGATAGTTGTGTGATGGCTATTTTATTTGTGTGTTGTATACATACTGTATACGTAGGTTCCGAGTTGCCTATTACAATTTTATTGTATTATCATTACTGTGCTTCTGTACCCAACAACAAAGAATAATAAATGAAATCTACTTTCAAAACGAATTTCATTCCAAGTTCACCTCCGGAGGATTTTCCAACGAAACCATTAACGACTTCATTTTTTTTTTTTAGTTAAGGATTTGAAGAAATGTTATAATTTGCAATGCACATTGGTCAAAGTTGGGATTCTCGCACGGATTACCTGATTTGTAATTATACCAAACCGACAGGGTGGAGGCCGTCAAATGACATTTTCTTTGGCCAAAATAGAGTGGAAAAAGCATGGTAGAAAATCTTCATTACAAAGCTTTATCTCTTGACAGTGGCCTTACTATTACTTCAATCCGAACCTGGTTTGCTCTTTCGTTCCAACACCTGATTTCCTTCTTACTCAATGATTCTCCCTTCCCATGTCTTCTTGCTTTGAGGTTAACTAGCTATTTAGTGTGTTGTGCGAATTCACTACTAAAACCGATAGAGATAATTCAAGAATTTCATCATTAATAAATTTTTTATTTTTATTTCTACTGACTACTTCTCATATATCCTAGATTAATCGTCTTGATTTCTAGCTTCTTAATGATGTATTGTGATCTTTTCGAGGCATTGGGCATTCAACAATTCAATTATGTGATTCTTTGATGACACAGATCATTCTCAATAACTGTAGCCTTCCCACATTTTTAATCAACATAGAACTTGACTTAGAGAAATCATCTCTTTCTCTTGGACTCTATATTTCAAATCAATTTTGACACCATGTGCATAATCTTTTTGATAGATAGTTAGTACTTTTTTGCAAATTTCAAAAGTAGAGATACAATTTCCAACTCGGTGCTATGTTATAAATTGAGAACAGGTACAAAAATTTCACCTATTGTACCATTTGACTCTGTTAACGGTAGAAATAACACAATGTCTTTCTTTTTCACTGATTTTGAAGAAAGACGCGTTGATGGTTGCAATTACAATGCTTCATTCTCCGTGAGATAAGCAATCACTAGAAGATCTCAGCTACTCCAGCGAGACAACAGAGTTTCGTTCCTGAAGCGGTGAGCTCAAAGTGGCGTGCTCTGCCAATCTGTGCCTTCCCCTGCATTTCTCAATAGAAACACAACTTTTTGTGCATCCATTTCTTCTTCAGTACCCTATTTTAATGTAACCCAAGCAGCCACTTTTATGTTTCATTTTATTAAAAAAAAGAAGAAGAAAGAAGAAGAATGGTCTCTCAAATTATAAAGCAAACTAACTAATAAAAAGAATAACTGACAAACACATTCTGTATGTACACTATCCTGATTGGAGGTAGAATGAGACACGGAGTGTTGTGACCCTCGTGTGGCAACTTGGAAGAAGAGAAGCCGTCGTCGACTCACAATCGACGGAATTAGACTACTGAAACTCGATCAAATTTGCCGTCGACTCACAATTGGTTTGGTTCAATTTGGCTTTTCAGTTTTCTTTTTCGAAATATTAAAAAAAGGTTTAGTAAAAAAGGAGATAGATTGTGTAAATTGCAATATTAAGAAGAGATGCTATTTTCCATTTACCGAACCGGAATAAAAAAATGGTTTTTTTTATTATCCAAACCGAAACCCTAATCGAACTAAAAATATACGAAAATTCGGTTCGGTGCGGTTCAATTCGAATCGGTTTCAGTTCTGGTTTGGTTTTGACAACCCTAGCTGTAATTAGGGCATTGGAAAGCCTCATAATGTAAGCCCAGAGTGTTTCCCAATATAGAGAAAAAGTGAGAGTTGGCTTGTCCGTTGAGCGTGTATTTGCATGAGCTTATTTGCTCTGGGTGTTCTTTTGGGTTACATGAGAAAAGCAATTGTAACAGTGGCAAGAGTGAGGTTTTGCTATTCATAAATAATGTGTGCAATAGTTTGTGCGACAAATATTGTATTAATATGTTATGTTCATACCTCATTTTTCATATATGTATGTCCCAAATCGCCTACTATAATTTTCTCATGTCACCACCACCATGCTTATGTACCTAGAAACATTGAATTATAAGTGATACATACTTTTCCATCGAATTTAACTCCAACGAAACCATTAACGACCTCATTTTATAACGTGCAATGCTCATTACTCAATCCCAACGCTTCATTGACTATAAGTTAAGCCATTTCCGAAACCTTTTCGGCCCATGGGCGAGAGCATTGCCCGACTCACCCTCTGCTTTCTATCCAATTTAACTATTCTTCCGGGAAAAGCGCCGTGTGAGATTTTTATGGGGGTAATGACATCTATCTCCTCAACAAAGCCGAGTGCCCAATATGTATTTATTGTCAAGATGGAATGTTAGAAACTCTACAAGCACTTGATAAGTTGTCATTCGGATAGCAATGTCCATATCCCACATGTGCTGGTCGATTTCGAGCAAATGAATCCATTACAACAATTACAAAGCTTCATCCTCGATGGGTTAAAGCCATTTTCTAGAAAGTCTTAGCTACTCCAACGAGATTTCGATATGACAACTTATCCGAATGACAACTTATCAACAAAGCCGAGTGCCCAATATGTATTTATTGTCAAGATGGAATGTTAGAAACTCTACAAGCACTTGATAAGTCGTCATTCGGATAGCAATGTCCATATCCCACACGTGCTGGTCGATTTCCAAGCAAATGAATCCATTACAACAATTACAAGGCTTCATCCTCGATGGGTTAAAGCCATTTTCTAGAAAGTCTCATGCTACTCCAACGATATTGCTTCAAGCGGTTAGCTCCAAGTGGTGTGCTCTGCAAATCTCTCTGCCTTCCCCTGCATCTAATGAAGGAAAGAGTAGCTTCCAATGCCACTTTCTACTCCCTCTTTCGTGTTCTTTTTTTTTTTTTACTTTTTTACGTAATTTTCTGAAAATATATACTTCTTATGTACATGGCTTTTACTTTTTACGTAATTTTCTGAAAATATATACTTCTTATGTACATGGCAACGATTGGCAATGATAGGTATCGTTGGGTACATATGGCTGATTGAATCAGATTAAGATCTTATGGGAAAACTATTAACCAGTAGGTATTGTTGGTCTTAGTTACACGAGATTAATTGCAATCTTTATATGCATGTTTATAAATATCATAAAGTACAATTTAAGAGCCAAAATCATGACATTTATGAAAAATTCACAAGTGACGTAACCAAATTTGAGGAAAATTACTGTCCTTCAAAAGAAGAAGAAGAAGAAGAAGAAGAAGAAGAAGAAGAAGAAGAAGAAGAGAAGTTACTATAAGTTACTAAGTTTAAGAAAAATAGACATTCATTGATCAGCTCTCAAACCTTCAGAGAGTGAAGTAAAGCACCTGTTTTCATTACTATGACGGACAACTCCTATTCATAAAGCACAACACAATGCAATTGGCTTAAAGAATGTCCTTGTTGCATCCATATCCCAGATATTTGGTTTGGATCTCATACCACTGCCGAAATTATAGTGAAGCTCCTGGTCATTTAAAGTATCAGGGGCATGAGAAATTGTCACCACCAGATGAAGAAGGGACAAAATGATGCAAAATCGATACATAAAGACACTAACTGATGGTATGAACATGTGAGATGGATATAGGCATGACGAAAAACAAGAAAGAGCACAACATGATTCCTACTAGATTTCCACCGGACAAGATGTTACTTTTGACAGGATCAAGGCCATGAATCCATCATCAGATTGAGCAATCTATGCATTAGCTTCTCAATTGACAAACAAAGTTGCATATAGATCCATGGAAATTCATCATCTCAACATCGGTGTCTTGGATTTGAGAAAAGTAAAAATGTTATGATGGTGCCTCCGGTGGCTTATTAATCCGTGATAGAATAAGTGAACATAAGCTACTAAAAATGCAATCAAAACCACATAGACATGAGTAGTTGCCATGATCAATCAATTATTAGAAGTGTTATTCCACATTGGTTAAATAAAGGGTTTCAACGGGGGTTATATATATTGAGTCTACCTCTAACTAATACTTTAAGCTTTTGGGTAGAACTTTTGCTAACAAGTAATGAAGTTTTTCTGTTTTTATTATGCATGAATGAAATGAAAAAAAAAACACATAATAAACATCCTCTGTTCTAGGAAATGAACCTTAATAGAACTTGCAGAAAGGTAATACTCTCTGTTTGCATAAGAACATATTCATGTGATGTCAAGGATGAAGAGTCTTTCTTTGTGACTGATGATGTATAATGACATGCAATGTACTTCGAACTCATTCTTATCTATTTTCATACACACCAGGATCACAAGCCAGATGATGCTGAAGCATTGCAGTCACTTAGTCAACCAATTTCCCCAAGATTACTTTAAATAAGATAGGAAACAATAAGACATCGACACAACCCCATACCAAACTGAAATTACTAATGTGAAGTAGGTATTCTTAACTAAATATGATACTTTACCAGCTATATTTACAATTACTAGGAAACACGGATGATCTCTAGAACCCGATCTCTGTGGTTCCGCTGCCATGCAAATATTCTTCATAATTCTACATGGGGCATATGTGTTCTCCATCATTCTGGTATTCTCTTTGCGTGAATGATAATGAAAGAACATGATTTCTCTCATCGGACATGCATCAAACTGTTGTGAAAATGATAATAAAAGAACATGACTAGTATCTTCCAAGTCAATTTGCACTCCTAATATTGCCAATGAGCTATTCCAATGTCAAGATTACAATCATAGTTGGAAGTCCTCGCTTCTGATGTAGTACCAATTAAGCTCTACACAGAATTAAAAATCATATGCACAGCTCCTCCCACTTCATTTTGGTGCCATTAACAGCTGGGTAATACCCAAGCTCTGAAGATCTTTTGTCCCTGCCATCGGCCTAGCCAAAAATGGAGCACATTTCTGGCTGAAACACAGTTATTGCAGGAGTGGCTTTCCAATTTTGTTCAATGGCAGCCATAACAAATCATTCTGATTTGAGTTCTAGTTCAAGAAAAGATGGCAATAAGAGATCTAGCTCAGCTCTCAACTATTAAAGGACTTAAGCAAATCACCTTTCTAACCACCCATTGATTACTTGTCATGTTTATCCCAAAAACATGAAAGCAATACGGTTGATTTAATACTTCCTCCATACTTCTGGTTTGGATCTCGCACTGTTATCCACAATATAGTGGAAATCCTCTGTTCTTTTTAAGCCTCTGAGGTGTAGACATTGTCAACACCAAACAATGACCGAACTGAAGTAAGAAATTGTGCATGATGTTAAGGTATGAAATTGCAAGAAGATAATTAAAGGCATGAAGAAAAACAAGGAAAGAGTGGCTTCATGATTTGTACCAGGTTTCGACCGCTGATGATAATACTTTCAGCCTGATCAAGGCCATGTATCTGCCTTCAGAGAGAGCAATCTTCACATTGGCATATTAAACTATAAATAAAGTTTGATACAGATCCATGGAGATTCATCATCTTGACATTAGTGCCCTGGCTTTGAGAAAATGCAGAACACGTTTTATGGTACCTTCACTGCCCACTGCCATGACCAAGTAACGAGTTAATAAAATGCAATCAAGATCACATATGCATGAGGAGTTTCTAGAATCCATCGGATAGTGAATTTCTCTACATCATAGAAGTTGGAGAGAAGTATTACTTTATTTACACAAGCGCAAATTGATACCATGTCGAGAATGAAGAATCTCATACTATTTGACTGAAGACATCAAATATCCTTTTGCAGGCATTCTGACCTTTTTTATTCATATCATGATCACGAGCCAAATAAAACTGAAGCCTTACAATTACTTTGCTCAAACAACTTCCTCCGGTTGCTGGAATTAAGACAGGAAAATAATATCGTATCAAAGAAAAGCCCCGTCCAAACTGAAAATACTAATGGAAGCAGGTAATCTCCACAGAAAATGGTATTATACCTGCTATATTTTTTGTTTAGTAGGAGATGTTAGCGATCTCCAAAATCAGATCTTTTTCTTTCTCAATTCTCTCCATTTTCTTTCTACAAGAGCTCTCAGTTTAAGAGGGAGCCGAGCATCTCTTTTTGCAGGCGAATCGGGGAGAGACTCCACGATGGAACAATGCAGCACCAGCGATCGAGGGCACGGCACAATCGTGGACCAACCTTCTTGCCCAACATGAGAAAAGAAAAATGTTGAAAAGCTAAGGAACAGACAATAAGTTGGCCAAAGCAGTCCCCACGCCTGCATCAAACATAACCCATCCCTGCTGTAGATGCAATCCTCAAATTCATAGTTGAACTGGCCAACGACCAGATATTTCTCAAGCACGACTCAACTCAACATCATTCTTCAACGCCTTTTTGTGAACTGAAATCGTCAGGTAACTTAAAAAAAAGCCACTTACTGTCAGATTCAATCAGCTCTGTACTCTGAATTTCGCATTGGTGCAGGCAACAGTCGGCTAGCATAGAGTTTGTAACCTTCAAAAAGCAAGACCATCACATTATAGAGGATCCATATAGAGGATGACAGAATGAAAACTAGCCATGGAAATAGAAACAAATTCAATGGTGTTTCTGTTTCAACATTAGAAATCAAAAGGTATTTCCTGACTTTGTCAGCAAGACAATAATTATTTTGCTATAATTGGCCAAAAAATGCGAAGTTTTATGTTTTGTGAAGGTTTGAAGCACTGAGCTTTGAACAAAAGACACATTGCAAATGCTAAAAACAACAGTATATATGAAAGTTAAAAAGCAAAAGTTCTTCCAAACACACCACAATGTCAGAGCCCGATAACTCCTGGTGAAAGAAGAAACCAATGGACTTTTGTTATTATAGCCCCAGCTTTTGCATTTTCCCAGTCAGAAGGAGATAAGGAGCAATTCCATTCAACTAGAAAGCTAGCAAAGAAAAAGTAAGGAAAAAATGAACAAGCCATATCACCATCACAACAATTCTAGACACTAGCGTCCTTTTCCATGTGAAATTAGAAGCCTTCAACACCATTTCACTTCGGTATTAGCTAACTGGGATGAGTGAGGACATCCTTGGAGAATCTTATGAGAAGGAATTTCCACATACTCATGGAGAAAATGCTACTTTGGATCATAGTTACAAACAAAGTCTGGTCATTTCTTCATCAGCTTCCACATCGGATTCCTCATCAACCTCGTCGGCTTCCTCATCAGACTCGTAGTTGAATTCCTCGTCAGGTGGTAAAAAGTCTGGGAATTTCTTGAGCGACTCGCACCCATCCCTTTCAAAGCGCTTTAGGGATTTACTAGGGCAGCGAATTTCAACTAAGCTTTTGCAATTCCTAACAATCAACTCCTTCAGATGCTCCGACTTTGAAAGGTCCAGTACTTGAATGTGCTTGCGCCCAGAGATATTCAACACTTCCAGGGATCCCAATTTTTCAAGGCCTCCTATCGCATGGAGATTATCTTCAAAACGGAAATACCCTAGGTCTCTGGATAGGTGCAACACTCTTAGGGATTTCAAAGCTTCCAATCCATCCAATTCCTTCAGCCCATAGCATTCCATGAGCCGTAATTCCGACAAAAATTCCAAATCGAAAAGCTTTGGCAACCTTTCCAATTTGGGGCATACCCAAACGATAAGAGTCTGTATGCAGGAGGGGAGCTCTGGGATGCTTTGAAGAGACTTGCAAGAAAAAAGGCGGAGATCCTGTAGATGCTTGAGGTGAGAGAGCGATGGCAGCTCATTGCTCCGACAGGTGAGATGCAGGGATGATAAGCTAACAGGAGGTTTTGGGAGTGACTGAAGCTCTCTACAGTCAAGTAAATGGAGGTGCTCGAGAGAAGAAAGCTCACTGATATTTTTGGGCAAGCGAGAAATTTTTGTTTGACCTAAACGAAGGGTCTTTAGAGAAGACAATCCACCTTTATCAACATGAATTTCTCCTTCGAGGTCACGGCACCCGCTGGCATCGAACTCTTGGAGGCTCTGCAATTTTCCAATAGAGCTCGGTAACCTTTTATCTTGCTCTTAAAAACCGTCAGAATTTTCAATTTGTTCAATTCCCCAATGGATTCAGGTAATTCTATAATACCTGTAAATGACAAGTCTAACTCAACCAACTCTCCCGACTTCCCAATTGAGCTGGGAACTTGAGTTAATAGCCAACATGTCCTGGCACTAAGTGTCTTCAGCTTCTTTAGAGATTCTATACATGGAGGGATTTCTTTTATCCCAATATGGTCTACGACAAGTTCCTCCAAATGTTCTAGTTCGCCCAGTTGTTCGGGTAACTTCTCGAGACTCGTACACCTGCTCAAGTTCAAGGAAACAAGGCGCTTGACATCTCCAATGGAAGGGTCGATTTCCTCCAAATAGGGACAATCTTCCAGGATTAGCATCTCCAAATTTTTAAATGCGGAGAGATTAGGGGTGCTCTTTAATCCCCGGCACTCTGAAAGATTGAGAACTTTCAACCTCTCCATCTACAAGAAATAAACATGTTCCAAGATTAGTAGTTAGAAAATAGAATGACTTACCATCAAATGCAACAAAAGAGAAAGCCTTTTTCATCTTTACCTTAATTGAACTCCATCCTCTCCAATTTTCACTAATACAGTTTCCACTAGTATAATCACCTGATAAATCAAGCATCACCAATTTCTTCAAATGAACGTTGGTTGCCTCGAAAGAGTCAGGACATCTCTCCCACTTTAGCCATCTTAATTCAGAAAGTGATCCTTTGAAATCTCCAGCAAAACCTGTGGCCCTCAAATGAAGGAACTTCAGGTTAGGCATTCTTTTGAAGCTCTCTTGCTTCATGAACTCTTTGGAGCCCTTTTTGTCCAGACGTAGTGCCTCGATTTTTTCATTTTCCTCCTACAAAAAAATAAAATAAAATTGAGGATTGTAAAGACCATCCAACCTCCTTTTGTTAGTATACTCTGCATGTTATTGTGGCCGATGCATTTTGTCTACACTTGTAGGATAAAAAAAATATATGTGATCTTTTATAATTACGTGATCATGTAATAAATCAATTTTCACTCGTATGCCCCAATTTTGATGTTTTAAGTGAAATTCATATATGAAGTTAGTCAAGTTCTCTTATAAATTTTGAAATTAAATTTTGTTAAATCCGTAGTATTGACGACTAACTAAATATGGTGTCCCTTTGACATATGTGAGAACTGTTACACGTTTCAAAAACAAAAAGTACCTAATTAAGCTTATGCATTCATAAAGCATGACAACTCATTCCCTTCCCATTCACAAAATATTTTTGGTTTTGGCATATGGCTGGATGGAAATGAGAATTTGGTCTATTGAAATGGAGACTTCGTTTTTGGATATTCAAGCTGAAAGCTCAACAACTAATCCTTAGACGAGGGAGAAATTGTCCAATCAATTCTAAACTTTTCAATTTTGCCGATTTCGTCTTAAAATCGTTGCGTGACATTCCAATGTAGTTATTGCGGCTAATTTTTGCAGGAAATTACTGATGTGACGGTGTGCCATGTAGGACAACTGTAAATGATCATGGTGAAAATTAATCGGAAGGACTACATTGGAATTTTGCACAAAAGTTTAGGACTAATTAACAAAATTGATAAGTTTATTATTGAATGGACATTCGCACAACAAATTTAGGACTGATTAGGTAATTTTCCCTTAGATGAGCACACTACTCAATTAGTCATCATTGAATTTGCCCCAATCAGTCATAAAATTCGGCCCGATCTTAAGAATTTGTTCGTGCATTTTTGCATTCACCAATTCATGCAAAAATATACGAATTAATAAATAAAGGTTAGCGATTATTATCGTTTACCTCTTTTTGCATTCTCTCATTTATTTTTTTCTCCTCAAGTTATCTTATTTGATATGTTAATTATAATGTTTTTCTTTGCTTGATATCTAACAATAGATTTTTGTCTCTTCTTTGTCCAGTGTATGCGCGTAAAGACACAATTATACTTACCAAGAAGGCTTGTTCATTACAAAATAGAGGTGGATATCATATTACACTAAAGACAAATAAAACGAGAAGAACGCAATTTCTTTCACCTTTCACTGCTCCGTCACTTACTTCCTACAATCATTTAATTTCTTAATTTCGATCTTTGCTTTTCGGTTTTTTTATTGGAAATTACTTTGTATGAATATGTACAAAATCATATGCCCGTTGTTATTTAGTTTCTTATGTCGTAATTTACTGTTGTTTGATTTTGCACATCATTTGTTAATGTTGAATTATGTGCTCAAAATATCTATGACTAGATCCGTGCATAGCACCAGTATAAACACAAGAATATATCATGAAAGCTGGGTAGAAATAGAATAGCCTTGTGACGTCGCATCACGTTTCAAAATCCTGTGAGTTCTCATCTTTCATATGAATGAACATGATTGATCCATCGTACACATGCAAAGCTCATAAATAAAACTAAAAATTGTTAATTATGCCACTTCCTTTATAATTAATGTATTTTGAACATCTTCCAATTTTTTTTATGTAATTTGTTAATTTGACTGTAAGTTGATATAGGCGACAATAAAAGAAAAGCCAAAAGAGAATTTGAATTAAATTTTTATTTTTAAATTTACCAGTCCTTTAAGTGAAAAGAAAAATAAGAGTTTTCTATTTATTATTGACTAAGAGGCATCCAAGTAATGTAGTGCTGTTTCAAGTTATCAACTAACCCAACCATGTTATTAACATACTTATGTATTTCTAAATTACTCAAAAAAATTGATATATTTCATGGTGCTTCCTTCAATTACGTTAATAACATTCACTAAATAATACAATTTAAACTAAATCTTTACTTTTCATTGTATTAAGTACACGTAGTTCTACATTTACATTATCATATTGGATTTACATCGTGAACATGCATAATAAATCCTAGAAAACAAATTGTAAAAATTCTTCATACGTATAAAAGCATTGCATAACATCTTATTACTTGAAATTGAACATAATCTTAAGTTGATAGCCAATAGTTGAGGTGCAAATAACTTAACTGAAATCTTTCTTTTTGTTGCAAAAAAAAGTAGACCCCGCACACGAGCAAATTGCATGCATTCACGGTTGGAATTTGAAGATAGAATAATGTATTCAATTTTTGGAGAAGGAGACTTATCACATATATCATATGAAAGTAAGATTTCAAGAGTGAACAAGGTGGATGATATGTGATCCATGTATTTATCCTCACACCAACGTACTTCAAAAATAAATTGATGATATATTTTGGGAAAAGATAGAATGAAAGTCAACAAAGTAATGATCAACAGTAAAGCTTTTGTTGTTTGGTTGAATAATATAAACCAATCGGCATAAGGTTATAATGACTCTTGTGCGTTTTAGAGTGTGAGGGACCGGATTTATAAGTGGCTTAAAGT